AAAGCCCAGCAGGAACTCATTAGCATATTAGGCCACACCCCCTGACTGCACTGCTCATTAGCATATTAGGCCGCACCCCCATGTTACCAGAAGTGTGGTCATCCAGCCACACCCACCTTTCCCTTCTTATTCTGTTTACCTTGTTTGTTGTCCAAACCCAGGGCTTTTTTGTAGCAGGAACTCCTTTGCATGTTAGGCCACACACCCCTAATGTAGCCAGTCCTAATGAGTTCCTGCTGTTGGGTGTGGCCTGTTATGCTAATGAGTTCCTGCTGGGTGTGGCCAACTTGGAAGCCAGCCGGAACGCCGTTCCTGTGCGTTCCTGCCCAAAAATAGCCCTGGTGGGAGCCCACTGAGGGAGTCCAGGGCTGCTGCGGCAGGCAGTGGCAAACCCCCTCTGAACATCTCTCGCCTTGGAAACCCCTCCGGGATGGTTGGAAGTCAGCCACGACTTGACAACGCTTTACACCCACTGATGTTTAGATTAGATATCAGAAACAATTCAATCGTAAGGTTTAGCTTGCCCAAGCTAGCCTGAGCTCATCAGAAGCTAAGGAGGGTCAGCTCTGGTTAGAGAGCCAGTTTGGTGTCGTGGTTAAGTGCGCGGGCTCTAATCTGGGAGAACCGGGTTCGATTCCCCACTCCTCCACTTGCAGTTGCTGGATGACCTTGGGCAAACCATTCTGTCAGAGCTGTTCTCTCACGAGCAGTCCTCAAAAGAGCTCTCTCAGCCCCACCGACCTCACAGGGTGTCTGTTGTGGGGAAGGGAAGGGATAGGAAAGGAGATTGTAAGCCGCTCTGAGACTCCTTCAGGTAGTGAAGGGCGAGGTATAAATCCAATCTCTTCTCTTCTTCTTCTAGTATTGGGATGGGAGACCACCAAGGAATACCAGGGACATGATACAGAGGCAGGCAATGGCAAACCACCCCTGGTTGTCTCTTGCCTTGGAAACCCGACAGGGTTGCCATAAGTCAGCTGTGACTTGATGCCCCCCCCTCCCAAATTTAGATTGTTGTGTACTTCAATTCTCACCCACCAGGTTTGGGCTAACCACCTCAAGTTGACTGACTTTTACTACACAGCCCTGAACAATCAGAAAAACAGTGTGCATGTGAGGAGAGGGCGGGAGTGGCTGGTAAAATCCGCTGTACCGTGTGACCAGTTGTGTGCGGCTGCCATTCCGTGTGAGGCATTCACAAGCAACCAACCTAAGACGAGCAGCCATCATTGTACCCACCCACTGTCCATAGGCACCATTAGCAAATTCAGGAGCTAAGCCATTTTGGCAAGACCTTATTCCACCCCTACTTCAAGATCCCATGAAAGCCACCAGCCGGTTGCCAGTCCGCAATCAGCCTGGGAACTTCGACCCGATCATCCCTGAGTCCATAATCCTGCCAACCTCTCCAGTGGTCTCACGGCAATCTCCCTTACCCATTCTGCCTCCACTGGCAATAAATCCGTAGCGCTCCATCTGAAGCAATTGTTCCACAATGCAAAAATAGAAATCTTTTGATTCCTCAGTCTAACCAACGTATTAAGAATCAAAACTCTTCTAGCGTACAAAAATATTCTACCCGAAAGACCGATCTATGCTTCTCTATTTTCTTCTGCTTCAACATGGCCAGTGTGCTTGGGTTGCAAACTCCTGGAGTTGTATTATATGAAACAAAAGCAAACGTAAACCATCCACTAGAAGAATAATTCAAGTTAAGGTGCTCACAGTGCTTTGTCCCTAAGCTTCTATTCGGTCATCAAGAACAAACTGGTGTTGGGCTTCGTTTTCCCCCATGGCGAGCTTGAACCTCGTTTTCCGTTGAGCAATCCCTTCTCTTTCTCCTGTGGCGGAACAAGATTCACGACTGAAGTCTCGAAGAGAATATCAGTTTCCTCTGACATCTGGCACTTCAATAAACCAAGGTTTGTATTTTCTCTTTCCCAGTAACTGAGAACTGTGGTTTAACTCTGGTTTAGGATCTCCATTGCTGGAGGAAACCCCCCCCCCAACACTTCAATTTGTCAACACTTCCACATTCAGACACCATGACTAACTGGCATTCATCGGGGACTTTCATTTTGGCATGCCGTACCGGGGGAGAGGGCCTGCGAGCGCGGCAACGGGTGAGGCTCACGTTCATCACGAACGATCTCTGGTTTGCGAATCTGAAGAGCAGAAGGCCTCTGCTGGTGTGCTTGGCAGATGAAGAACAACAGAGGGGGAAGAGTGCTCGCCTGGACAAGAGTCACAGCTGAACGGAAGCGCTCAAAGAGATGAGAAACCAAGGATCAATGAGCAAACTAAAGGGCTGTTTAACACAGGTTTGCCATCAAGCAGACCACCAAAAATAAACCACAGCCAATCTAGATCTCCTGATGAGCATTCTCATATGAAATGAGGGTTGCCAGCCTCCAGGCGGCACCTGGAGATCTCCCAGAATTACAACCCGTCTCCAGATGAGAGATCAGTTCACCTGGAGAAGATGTCCGCTTGGGAAGGTGGATTCTATAGCATTATACGCCACTGAACCCCCTCCCCTCCCTAACATCTGCCATCTTCAGGCTCCACCCCCAAATCTCCAGGTACTTCCCAGCCCAGAGCTGGCAACCCTATATGAAAGTGATAGTTAAAACCAAAGTTACTGCGTTCTCACATCACGTTTTTAGGCCCACACTTTATTTCAAGTGTATACCTTAAAACATTTGAAAACGTTTCCAAAACCTAGAATTAAAAACATTGCAAATGATATTTGGGAGGGGGGAGAATTGTAGTTACCTAAAAGAAGGTAACAGCGTTCCGTGCACCTTGGTGTTTAGTCATGCCGGCCACATGACGACGGAAACGTCTTCGGACAGCGCTGGCTCTTCGGCTTTGAAACGGAGATGAGCACTGCAACCCTAGAGTCGGACTCGACTGGCTTTCGAGCAAGGGAAACCTTTACCTTTTTAAAGGAAGTTACCCGACTGCAGTTCCATTCTTCGATAATCACTGGATTTCTTGATGGAAACTCAACCGGTCATCTTATGGGATTGGATCCAATGCTCCCTCTAAGCCTGTGGAGCCTTGTGGGCAAAAATTCTACCTTGTGAGCGACTGGCGTTAAAGTTGTGAGCGAGCGATTTGGCTACTGCATAAATTAGTTTGCTCTGGAGCCATCCTTCCTGAGCTAAGACAAAAAGGTGTGAGCTGGAGGCTAAAAAACGGTGAGCTGGCTCACACTAACTCAGTTTAGAGGGAACATTGGCTGGATCCAGACAGCTTTTAGTTCAACCTTGCCTAACTCTTTGAAACCGATTCCTGCCATCTTGCAGTTTTCAATGCAGGTTCCATGACCCCTAACATTACCTTTTCGGTGGTCAAAGGGGCCTCCACTCTCCCTTTTTCATCAGCAAAAACCTGGTGGGGTCCAACCCAGTATGTTTTAGACAACTAGTCTGGTTTCTACTGGTATGACTAGATTTTCCCCCTGTAAGGATGCGTTTCATGCATTAGCTTGCAATACAGCTTTGGTCCAAGGTTGCTGTTTGTAACATCACTTCCTTTGGTGCGGAAAAGTGATTTCCCCCTGTAGACCATTCTGTCCCCACTCCTGTTCCCGAGGGTCCCTTGCTCCCCGTCCCCCCAAATTTCAGGGGGCTCAGTGCACTGCAGTAAGAATGGGAAGGCAGGGAAACCCCACTGCCAACTCCACCCTACTGGCAGAAGATAGGATGCAGAAGGTAGGGTTGCCAAACTCCAGGTGGAGGCCTGGAAGTTCCCCAAAATTACAACTGATCTTCAAACTACAGAGAGCAGTTTCCCAGGAGAAAACGGATGCTTTGGGGGGCATGACATCCTGCTGAGGTCCCTCCCTTCCACACATCCTGCCTTCCGCAGGCAGTACCCCAAAACTTCATGGATTTCCCACCTAGGGTTGCCAGCCTCCAGGCGAGACCTGGGGATCCCCTGGAATTACAGCTCATCTCCAGACTACGGAGAGCAGCTCCCCTGGAGAAAATGGATGTTTTGGAGGATGGACTCTATGTGGCATTGCGCCCCACTGAGGTCGCTGTCCTCCCCAGGCTCCACATCTCCAGGAGTTTCCAGACCTGGAGCTGGCCACCCTACCCCACCATCCCCCCCCCACAACTGGTGGCCAGGAGGAACCTGGCAACTCTGCAGTCCCAAGCCCACAACTGGCAGCCCTAGATACAACCCTATATAAATGCTAGGGGCTTGCCTAAATATCTAGGAGTACGCTTTTTACAAGATTGTGGGCTTTGTTTTCCCTGATGGGGGGAAAATTAAAAGGTCACCTACACAAAACTAATTAGAATGCACCTCTGTTCCCCCACCCCACCTCTGGTGTTCCTTCATTTTTCATCTCCGGGTCCAGCCTTACTCACAGTGGCATTTTATGCAAAACGCCCTTGAGCCACAGATGCTGATCTTAACAAATGCACCGCGCACCTCTGCAAGAGGGGTATGGAGAATCCAGCCTGCAATTCAGCGGGGGAACGATGCTTCCTGGACCCTGGGCCCCTCTGCTTCCGTCCTCCGAAGAGCGACTTCTTGTGCACAGACCCTTTGGGAGGTTACGGAATGAACTGGGGTGTGGTCCACACGGCATTGAATCTAATCGTACAACTCTCACGGATGTTAATGCAGCCAGGCACTGGGCAGAGCTCTTAACAAGGATGTTGGTGGCTGGTGCAGACAATCGGTGGCTGTCTAGAAGATCGATTCACAAAGTGCGGCGCCGGTCCTCTTAGAAATCTTTATCCCAGCCCGAAAGCTCATCTGGTGGGATGCTCTGCTCTGGGGGGTATCTGTCGAAATAGCTGTAATCCATTGGACCTGAAAGCTAAAGAAGAATTAACAAGAGACTTCAGTCTGACGTGTCATCCAAACACAGGAGGTGCTGAGTCAGACCAGTGGTCCATCTAGTCCAGCGTCCTGTTTCCAACAGACAGGACACAGAGGCTAAGGCCTTCCCTAGTTGTTGCCTCCTAGCATTGGGATTCAACAAGTTTCTTCCTCTGCGTGTGGCACCCTTAGCGTGGTTTTTGCTGCTAGTTTATTGAATAGGGTTGGTTACATCAGTGACATCGCCGAGATCACCACGGCACTTCCGGGTACAACCCACAAGTGACAATGGATATCTCTAGGAATAACTGGGGGGGGGGAGCTATGGTAAAATCATGGAGTTTTTGGTGATTCCTAGAGCTACCCAATGTCACTTCTGGGTTGTACCTGGAAGTGATTTATTGGTGCAGAGGCTGGTGGCAGTTTTTAAAGCAGTTTTGTCAGCAGTGATCAAAGGGGGGCCTCCCACCATAGCAGGAGGACCGGCAATCCTATTATTAGACCTGGGAGCAGACAACATCATAGTGTGGAGAGGCAGAAAAGAGCACAAGACTGTTCCCACAAGGAGATTATTCCCGAGATGGAATACAGCATGCCCTAGCTTTATTTGGGAGGTCCCACATGACATCGTGCTCCTTCCAAGCACAGCTGGAGCAAAGAAAAGAACAGAACCTCCTTTGCTCTGACATCAAGGGGGAATGGGGGACCAGCACCAGGCCTCTGCGTGAAAGCTCTGCCCACGGCCACCCCAGTAGGGAAGGTGGAACTTAAACCGCCTTCAAAATGCTTTCACTTACGGTGACCGCAGGAAGGAGATTTCAGGGCAAGTAAGAAGCAGAGGTCATCTGCCATTGCCTTCCTCCTCGGTGGTCTCCCATCTGAGTTGCTTAGCTTACGAGAGCTGACGAGACTGGGCTATAACGTGCCTCTATTTACTCTGTTCCCAAGCAATTAACAGTTCTGGCTCCCAAACTCTTTTGACTCCAACGAGCGCCCCGTCACTGGCAACCCTCCAGTCAGAACTAGACCTCAACTGGTATCAAGCACAAATAGGTAACATGGCGTGAAAGCAGCTAAGTAGATGGCTTTGCAGAGGTATCAACCCAAGTTAACCAAGATGTGGCGTGAGCTTTTCTGCCTCCCTGTCATCCCATTAAAAATCAAGCCTCAGTCTTCAGTTTGAAGCCAAACGCAGTTAACTTTGGTGGCACAAATCCCAACGGCCAGTACAGGGATTAACTATACTCTGGTGGTGGGAAGTGCCTTCAAGTGACTTATGGTGACCCTGCTGGGTTTCCAAGGCGAGAGACATTCAGAGGTGGTTGGCCACTGCCTGTCTCTGCACAGACAACCTGAGCTGCCTTGGCGGTCTCCCATCCAGGTCCTAACCAGAGCTGACCCTGCTTAGCTTCTGAGATTTGATGAGATCAGGCTAGCCTGGGCCATCCAGGTCACGGCAACGACACATTACGAAGCTGCTACTTGCCCTATTGGGGAACATTATGTGTAACCCATCTGCCCACGTACGTTTTTCCAAGCGCAGCTCTCCAGGGCGTCTTCGGGTCAGAAAAACGGAGTGGGGGGAGGTTTATGCCCCCTCTCCCCACATGCCGATCCAAACCAGTTCCCTACATGGCTGAGAAGTTTCAGCATGGAACTCAGAGCACGTGTCAGGTTTGACAGGACCTGGGCTGGACCATAAGTGGTGTAACATGTAGTTAGGCCCTTCAGTGCCCACCAGTGCAGGTTCGCTGGTGTCCAGGGGACTTTAAGTCCATTCAGACATGCTAAGCCACAACAATAAAGGCAATAAGACTCGGAAAAGTGGAAGGCAGCAGGAAAAGAGGAAGACCCAACATGAGATGGATTGACTCAGTCAAGGAAGTCAAGGCCCTCAGTTTGCAAGACCTGAGCAAGACTTGTTAATTATTGGACATTTTGGAGGTCATTAATTTGCAGGGTCACCATAAGGGAGGAGGAGGAGGGGGGGGGGAGCTATGGTAAAATCATGGAGTTTTTGGTGATTCCTAGAGCTACCCAATGTCACTTCTGGGTTGTACCTGGAAGTGATTTATTGGTGCAGAGGCTGGTGGCAGTTTTTAAAGCAGTTTTGTCAGCAGTGATCAAAGGGGGGCCTCCCACCATAGCAGGAGGACCGGCAATCCTATTATTAGACCTGGGAGCAGACAACATCATAGTGTGGAGAGGCAGAAAAAAGCACAAGACTGTTCCCACAAGGAGATTATTCCCGAGATGGAATACAGCATGCCCTAGCTTTATTTGGGAGGTCCCACATGACATCGTGCTCCTTCCAAGCACAGCTGGAGCAAAGTCCGCGCACTTAACCACTACACCAAACTGGCACATGGCACGCACACAAGCCACAACTGGTCACCAGTGCGGTTCGTTCCTCATGCACTCCCCTCGCTGCTCTTTGCACAGGGCATGATTCATGTGTTCAGGTCTGAAACAAGCTCCAGTTCCCCACGATGTATAAGTGAAGGAGCCCCAAATCAAATTTCTATTATTATTTTTTTAAATCCTGTTTCATCTCACTTGGTGTGGAGCAAAATGGCAGTTCATGTGGGGGCTTCTGCATTTCAATACCACAGGAAGCTGGAGTTTGGTTCAAGTCAGGAATCTTTCATCATGCACTGCACAAAAAAAGGGGGGAAGGGGGAAGATGGAGGGAGGCATGCAAGCTCAAGGAAAGCAGCCTTGATGTTAAAAATACACCGGGTTCCGTACCTCTCTTTTTAAAGGCGATGTGATCTTCCTGGCTCGGAGTCCCTCCCAATTGAAACCGTTCAGCCACCTAGCAGAGAAGAACACAAAGACCCATAGAAGCCAGCTTCACCGGTGGATTATCCTAAACAAAAGGCACACATTTCCTGAAAGGCAACAGATTTTAGCTCTCACAGGAAGAGGGACAAAAGATGAGATCCTGATGTACGGGACACCCCCCTGAGCGCCTTCGCTCCACTCTCCCTTTACCTGTGCCTCTTTATATCATGTATGCCATTCTTCAGGTTTCCTATTCTCTCGGTAGGGTTTTGTCTAAAAATAAAGAAATAAAAGCGTTGCATAATATGTTTCATCATTTAGTAATAGTGTTACCTTCACTGTTAGTTATCAGCTTTCTGGTACAATCTGAAGTGATAGAGAAAAAGAAGGAGGAGGAGGAGGAGATTGGATTTATACCCTGCCTTTCAGCTTACAATCTCCTTCCCCTTCCCCTCCCCACAGCTTACAATCTCCTTTCCCTTCCCCTCCCCACAACAGTCACCCTGTGAGGGAGTTGAGGCTGAGAGAGCTCTTTCGAGAACTGCCCTTGAGAGAACAGCTCTGAGAGAACTTGTGACTGACCCAAGGTCACACCAGCAGCTGCATGTGGAGGAGTGGGGAATCAAACTCAGTTCTCCCAGTTTAGAGTCTGTGCTCTATGTTGGGAATTGCGGGGACCCCCATGGACAAAAGCCATTTGGGATTTAATGAGGAGAGGAACTAGCCAAGATTTGAGCAAAAAACCTGGCTGGATCCAACCCACCGTGTTAAAATGGCTTAAAGACCTGTATTTGGAAGCTCAATTTTATGTCAGTTGCCTAGCAACCAGAACGAAAGGTTCCATTCAAACAGAGGAACCAAAGGGGCTCTCTCATAATCAGTTAACAGGAGGAGAAGAGGTAGCAGCTTAGCTCAGATGTAATGGGAAATCATGGTTTGCTGATAAGTGAATAGGTGCAGGGGATCCTTGGGTCCCGGCACTCATTCTTCTTCCCCATGCATGGCCAGACAACTAGATTCTTCTGGGTTCAGAGCAAACGGTTCATAGATAGCCACTTGGATGTAACTGGTAAACTGTAGTTTGTACCTTGCCTTCAAATCAAGACTCCAAAGTGGGAGTAAATCATGGGGCTCTTCCGCATTCTCATTTTTGTTGCTTGTGTGTCCCTGTTCCTTTGGGTTTTTTTTCCCTTTTATGAATGTGTTTTGCTCCCTCTAGTGGTCGATTCAATATTACATCAAGGGATACAGACAAGCCGGAACGTGTCCAGAGGAGGGCAATGAGGATGGTGAGGGATCTGAAGACTACGTCCCAGGGCTCTTTTTGTAGAAAAAGCCCAGCAGGAACTCATTAGCATAATAGGCCACACCCAACAGCAGAAACGCATTAGCATAATAGGCCACACACCCCAACATCACAGTTCATTAGCATATTAGGCCACACCCCCATGTCTTCCCTTGACTTGCCCAGTTGCCCCACGGCTGCGGGATGCCTGGCAAGCTGG